CGTTTTCCACAGAGGAAAAAGGACTTGATATTACATCCAATACTCAGCATCTGCAGAATTGAAGTTGAATGCTGGAGATTAAGCCTGAGAGAATTTGAATAAACTTTCTAAGAAGATGCACTAAAAAAATAGGTTGATCAGCTGAATGGGCTCTCACCTGGAAACATTAAGGCTTTGCATTCATTCCTTTCACTAATGGATACATACATATTTTATAATCATCACTGGGTTGTGAAATGGAGTTTTTGTTCTTAGCCATCCAGCCAAACATCACTTGTAAACAAACCACCCCCACCTCCTCCTTCCCCTTAATCTTCCCACAGAATTCTTAGAGTTCCTTCCAAAATGGAAACGATGGAAACTGCAGCTCATGACACTGAGAATGCCAGGACAGCCAGCAGCACGGTGATGAGCACATGCTCCCCAGAGAGAACTGAGGAAATGTGAATATCTGCAACAATAATCTCAACTGAAGGCCTTCCACTGCTTTCAGTGGAACCAAGCTTTCAATTAAGTGAGACTTATAGCATTACATCTCGTCTTTTTTGTGTAGATCTTGTTACCCAGAATGTTATTATGTCCACTGAGTTTTCTCCATTTTTGCAGGGAACAGAATGAGCTTGGCCTCACACTATTGTCATGAATGTAACTTGTAGTATCAGTATAGCCTTGCAGAATGGACTTAGCATGACAATTAAAAGCTTGTCTGAATTCAATCTGAAGCACCTCTTTGTGCACCAGTAAAAGCAATATATTTCTGGAAATACCCATAAGTGTATGCTTCGGAGACTGTAAACTTTAGCAATTTCTAAGCTTTAGGATCTTCCAGAATCAGATGATAGCTGAAAACAGATCATAAAATTTAAATTTTGTTATCAGCATCTATTACACATTGAAGTGTTCTGTAAATTCTTTGAAGTAGGCTGTGTCTTCAAATTAAAAAAAATATCAATTTACAATCACTGTAAATTGTTCACAACATTCTTATTCAAGTTACAATTTATTCAACATTAGAAAGACTCCCCAGGTCTCTTACTATTAGATGTTTCGTCTTAATTCAGTTTTTTATTACAGAATATTTCAATGAGAGTGCATTCTTCTTGAAACTCTAACTGCTAAACATTGTGCATGCAGCATTAGGAAAATGTGCCATTAAGGTAACCCTTGTTGGAACATAAGGAAGCATCAGTAAACTGCCAGAAACAGGACTAAAGCTCTTCCATCACTCCCACATACAAAGCGGGACATTCAGAACTGTTTTCCAAAATAGTGCTTAAACAAGTCTTGTCCATGACTTGCTAGATTACCAAGTTATTTTTTGGTTCAACAGACTATGTGCTTTAAATCCGTGTTTAAAGTTCAATATTTAATGCCTAAGAACTGATTATCAGTTTAGGTAAATATCAAGTTTCATTTAACACATTTTAAAAAAGAACCCGATGTGGCATCACAACAAATATATTCAAGCAGTAGAGAACTGAAAGAGAATATCTGCAAAACATTTTTGTGAAATGAGAATAGCAGCAAATAAAAATCTAATCTTGAACAGCTTCAGTTACATTGCTGCGTTACTAATTCGGAAAAAAGCCTCAAAGTTTTAAAGCTGGTGGGAAAACAACAGCAAAAAACACAGACAAGTTGTTACTAGACAGTACTTGAGATTGAACAGTTACATTCTTATCCTGTGTTTGACTGAATATTAAGAAATCAACAGTAGAAAAAAAAAGTAATAATATTACTTATTTCCTGCTTATTGAAAATTATGGAAAAGACTAAAATCTCCAAGTAGTAAAAAATTTCTATTCCTAATCTTCATGGAATAAATTGGCAGCTTAAAAATACATGAAAAATATTTTGATTTACCTACTGCATGTTTAGTAAATGCAGCAACTCTTGATTAAGAGAACAGCATCCCTGAGACTATCTGGCTTAAGTAAAGCCAGCAACCATCTAGGATGTTTTCCTTTGTCCAAGTATTATAAAAATAATCCTGGACATCATTCTACCTCATACTAGGCTTTCTCCTGACCCAAGCATACGAGGATTTAGAAACGGGAGGTGTATTAGCCTTCTGAGAATGTTTATCACACCAGAGCAGAGATTAGAACAGCCATTATAAAGCTGGCTGGCTGCAGAGACCTGAATTTTTCCTATCACATAAACTGATGCTACGGCTATTAAAAAGACAATGTTAACACAAGATGATAAGGAGCTGTGGTTTAGTAGCTTCAAAAACTCCATCATGGTGCTAGCAATATGGTGAAGTCCAAGAGAAATGGGTTGAATGCGATACAGTAGTGAGACTGGCAAAAAATGGAAAACTTGAATTGGAAAAAAAAAGTGGAGATACTGCTGCTATTCCAGTACTTATGTGACTTCAGCAGAGAAGGCCACATCCAGCATCCAAGAGTGTTATAAGCCTCTCAGAAAGCTGACTGAGCGATGAAGGCGGTCTATCTCTATGTAGAGCCTTCTGTAAGAGTTAAGTCCTGTGCTCCTACTTCCAAATGTGGGACAGATCATCTATTCCTGTTGACTTCCAGCCCGCGTTAATTACCATCTATGTCAAAATCAAAGAGTCTTTGCTCCTGGCATCATCTCCCCAGTGTGAAATACTGCCTCCAAAATTAACCCTTCAGATTTGTCAGACTACTGTAGGTATTTTCAATTTTGATTTTATTTTTACATATAGTTTAAGTAATAGAAGATAGGAGAGAAATTAGGATAGACAGGAGGAAGAACTGAGTAAATTACTGTTAGATGATATATTTATTGGTCTGATGTGTTAAGGACTGTGAAATAAGTCATTAAAGGGAGTGATAAAGAAGAAACTAACTGTTCATGTGACTCAGTGATGGCCCCACTGTCACACCGTGTACATAATAGTATGTTAGAGAAAAGCGCAAAGATTTTATGTACTGACAGCTCTGCATCATCTTAGATTACAGAATTACAGAATCAAGTTTTGAAGGCTTCATCCATTATACAGCTTGCTTCCTTCCAAACTTGCACAATTTTACACTGTTTTAAAGAGTACAAAGTAGAGATCTGTTGGAACTGAAAACCTTCACAGATCTTTGTAGACATTTCAGACCACAACAGAAATGCTCTGTAACTTCTGCAGATATCTCTGGGGTTGAGATATCTCTCTGGGGTTCAGAAACTATGCCATAGATGCTGCTTAAATAGCTTCCTAATGATACTCACATCTACTGTCTATTGTCCTCTCAGCAAGCTGTGACACCTTACCCAGCTTGGATATTCAGGATTGCAATACAGCACTTAATACTTACCAGCAATTAGTAAGCAAAGACTGAAATAGGACTCTAATCATGTCTCCTTACTCACTAAAATATACAGTTATGGCCCTTTGATTATAAGCTAAAATTGGACAGGTGGATGAAGTATCATGCATTGACACAACATGCAGTACTCTAATGGTTCATGTTTTCATCAGACTTTTCTAGCAAAGCTCAATTTTAACAAAGGAGGTACAAAATTTGATAATTTTAAAATGAATCTGCTTGCACTGCTTTTACCCTTGCTCAGATATTTGGAAGATAAGTGATGTGGTTTTAGACATTGTGTTGGTGTTTGTTTGTTTGTTTTGTTTTTTTGTTTTTTTAGTAGTTGTATAACACAGCACTGTTTCTATATGTATTTCCTAATATTCTCTCAAAAGAAACATACATCAGGATAGCAATTCAAAAGGCTGTTACTTCCATGTCTTGCTACACAGATATTAAAAAGTAAGAAATTAATCAGGTTTACTTTCTACTAAACGGACATTTAATCTACTACATATGGTCTAGAAATAGGCACAATTGATATGAAAGGACTATCAGGACTAATTGATTTCCAAGTCTTATGAAATAATCGCCTACTTACATCATCCACCTTGAACAGTTAAGTCAGGTATAGCCAAGAGACATTTGGATAAGTTGCTTAAGAACAAGTTCTCACAATATTAATAAACTACACTAGTTTATCCTTCATTGTTCAGGTACGTGAAAAAATGTTCATACTAGCAATATTAAACTTGTACCTCCACAAAGCAATGGTACATAGAACCTTATGTTTCTGACTGATGGACAACAGTTGAGATTTGATTTGAAACTTTTGTGGTAAGATAGAAGGTAGGCAGAAGAAAGGTGTTCATAAAATAGGAGAAGACATCTGAATAGAACTAAATATTTTCTGGAACTCCCAAGCTCTGTTTTTGCAAGCTTGAATGAAGAGATACAAAGTCTGGATAACAGAGTATGCTGTAAAAAGGGCGCATGAAGTTTAAAGATATATATGAGATCAAAAGTATTGTCCTTGAAAATGTTTTCTATTAAGACAACCCATTTTTATTACTACAGTTGTGATTTAACAATCTTTTTTTCTTTATCCCACTATTCTGTAAGTTCAGTACAAATTAAATTTATCCTTACAGTTCATAACTGTAATTTTCAATCATGTACAAAGTATTGTGCTATGTTTAATTTTTACTGCAGTGAAATCAAGACAAATATGTAAAGGCTGACTGAGATGACTGTGCATTGGATGATTATGGTAAAGTTCTTTGGATCAATTCTGAAGCATTCATAAAGCCATTTTAATTACCTAATCACTGAGCAAGTACTACGGCTATAAACACGGCTTTGGGCTCAAGAATAGAAATTACTCGAAGTGCCAACTTAAACATCTACCAACAACGTGGGTTTTCAGATTTTTTTAAAGAAGAAACCCAATAGATTTAAGAACTACATAAATATTTTGCTGAAAGCACTGTAAATGTCTTTATGATAGTACATAAAACCTGAAGTCTGAGCAGTATGAAACAATTCAAGCCTAAGAGGGTGATAAGATTATCACACTTTCCACAGATTCCGGGCGTAAGACTTCATTAGGTACTAACTGAAGAAGTTCTGTTGGGTTCTAAAGCAGTAGTTAGGCCCACCCCTTCAAAAATGCAAACACCTCATGTTAATAGCTCTGAGAACAGCTCAACTTACATATTCACCATATGTCTCCTGTGCCGGAGGTGGTGGAAGAGGCCGGTAGCCTGCAGGTGGAGGCACTCCTCTCGCTCGGGGTGCCAGAAGTCCACGGCTACGACTGACTGGCCCTCTACTGGGAGGCACTCCTCTGGGCGCTGGTGCCCCTCTCGGTACTCCTGCAGGTGGTGGAGGCACTCCTCCACGGCCCCTGTGAATACATGGATTATTTACATAAATATCCCCTTGGTATCTCTCTCAGTAGCTCCCTTCCACAACAGCGTGACAACCAGGCTTTGCTACAGACAGACAAAAATTATGAAAGAGCCATTTTAATTTGATATATTTCTGTATGCTCTAATTCAATTAAATGCATTACGCAGTAAACGCTGGAAGATTAAAAACTAGTCATATGATTCAGTGACGAACCTCTCAGTAGTTTGAGCCATTCTTTTTGCTGATCACATACAAAGAAACACTCAATTTGCTGGAATCAATCATCTTCACTAAAATTTGGTTTATAGCATGTGAAATCACAAACACAATATCAAGTTAATTTGAACCTGTCAAGCTATTTCATACTCAGATCCTGCACAGAGGAATCAGTCCCACCGCCCTTCTCATCCTGAGCAAGCTCCGAAATGCAATCCAAAGATCACAGCGCATGCAAGAACTTGAATGGGTCAGAATAAATTATTTTTCTTCTGGTTCTATGAAGTGATTTCCAGCTGTTGCACAAAACTTTCAGACATGTAATAAACGTGTAAAGTGTTCAACTGGACATAACCTATACAGGTATTCAAGGACAACAAATAATAGTGGTATATACATAATTTTTTTTTTTTAAATTCTGAAGGAGTAATAGAGGTCAACTTGCAACCCATTAATTTCAACAATTCTATATTTGAATTTCTTCTGCATTTCCATATTGAAGTAAAAAATCAGAGACAAACAGGGACAGTTTGCAGAAGTATTTGACCTATTTACAGGTAGAGTTCCCTCCTGCCTTCCTATAGTAAAGGCAGATCCCTAGAAGCACAACTTGCCAAGTTTGCATCAATTATCCTCTTTTCAATAGAATATCTAAAATATTGCTAATAGATATCTCCTTTCTAAAGGAGTCCATTTTCCCTCCATTTACTATAATTGAGTTTAAATGACTGCTCTGTAGGCATATTAGACTTAAGACACCATTACTGTCTAATATAACAATTACACAGAACAAAATGAACAAAAATTCTTCACTACCATCTCTACACACCATTATCTAATTTCTAGAGCAGTAATTGGATAAAAATATTCCGTCCTGATTTCAGTAGTTATTTCCAACTTCAGCAATACTGTAGAATAAGATCCAGATCTAGTTTCGAGATTTCAATTAAATTACATAAAGATCTTCTACTTCCAATGATTCCTAGCTAAGGTCCCTTCCAACCCAAGTCATACTGTAACTTTTTTTTTTTTTTAAAGAAACTTATCAAAAAAGTACTATTTTAGCAATTTATTTAATTCTTATTTTAAAAACTACATGAATAGTAAAAGAATGCAGAAATGTAAACACTTGCTAAAATCAGTATCTAATTGCTTCTAATTATTGATCAAAAAACAGAGAGTAAATGATTTAAAACTGTGCTTATTACTTGTTTTTGGCTAATCTGTAGAATGCCTCCTCAGGACAGGGTACCAGCTGCTTATTTGACTTCACTGAAGTGGGGGCAGGGGTGAGCAGTGATGTTCCCAGACACAGCCTGCTGAAGTAATATAAAGAAATAGCAAATGTGACACTTTCCAAGCGAAGCCAAAGAAAGGGAAATGATTCTACTGGCATAGACAATAGTCAATACCAAGTTTAAAAAAAAAAATCAGTCAAAAAACTCGAGAATTGCAAGACAATATTCTTCACTGCATCCTCCATGTTGGGTGTAAGTGAAAGAAGGAAGAAATTGGATATGCTGAAAAACATGGAAAAACATTTGGAGGAAGAAAAGAGTTTAATTTTTAGAGCCTGCATTAGTTTATTCTTGGAGAGGTATTATAACACCAGATACACAATTAAAAGATATCTTCTGCATTTCAAAAAAGTTAATAGGATTGATGTAGAGATGGTGGGAAATCATACTTATATTAGAAGAACATTTATACATAAGTTTTCTGAGTTCTTGAGACAGTTATGAACAATCTGTGAAGTACAGTACTGGGCTACACCACTCGGATGTTAACTGCACCAGGATGGGAAAGACTATAAAAAGGTGCAGAGACGAGAAACCCAATAACTGAAGAGTTCTATTACATCCATGCAGAGTGAGCCTATCAGGGCATGATATAAAAAGCTAACTTTAGGAAACTAGAGAAGATATCAGGAACTGAAGTTTGACTGACAGGAGCAATAACAGAAACTGATATCTAACACAGAGGAAACTCTTCAACAGCAATCTTTGCATGTCTTTACAGAAAAGAACACAAGTTCTATTACTGCTTAATTTGAAAAAGGAAAGTATATAATTTAATGTTTGAAAAGATTAAAAATATATAAGAGCAAAATGTGTACACGCAGCATGGGAAGAAATTCCAGTACATCCCATGTTAAGTCACACCAAATACACAGCAGTTATTTAAAAAAAAAAAAAAAAAAAAAGATTTAGAGAAGGCAAAAGGAGTTCAGTAAGGCCAGCAGAGCCAAAAGAGCTGTATTTAAACAGGTGTCAATTGAAAAACTGAAACTATCTTTGAAATTGAGGGACAGAGACCATCAAAATAAGTCTAAAATATTCAAAAGCATGTCAGGTTAAGGCATTTTTGAAAAGCCTAAAACAGCTACAAGTCATTCAAACACTCTGGAATCAGGGAAGCTGCCAAGAGTCTGAAATCATCAGCAAAGAATGCAAAGATATTTATCTGTAACATCCATTAAGTTTTTTGCAACACAATCAAGAAAGAATGGACAAAGTTCTAAAGCCAGAGACTTCTCTTATTGGGAATGCATTGGATGCTGCAGCCAACTGTCTTAGAAACAAGTTACAGAACATATAAAGCAAGTATAGTATTGTACTACCTTTGTACAAACCGTAATATGAGTTCAGATCCTTAGCTCCTTATTCTGGAGCTGAATGCCAAACTGAATGTCAAGGAAAGAAAAAATAGCAACCAAAATTCAAAGCAGAAAACTAAGAGGGTGCTGTTAGCGTGTGTAAATTAAAAGTGAATAAATAGAACTGTAACATTACTATGTTTATTTACCCTTCTGTTTTCTCATTTGCAAATGACAGTACAGAACAACTTAAATATAGGAAAAAATTAGGTAGATTAAGGCACTCGAGACTATAATTGGCAACTCAGGACAACATAGTGTGACAGAATCCAGTAGAAACCAACAGAACAGAAGTTATGTAAAGAAATATTTATCAATCAATCTCAAGGTAAGAACGAGAGGACAGGAATTAAGAGGGACTACATGTTAAACCAGATTGCTCCTATAAAGTATGTTCACTGAATCACAGAATGGCTGAGTTTGGCCACCTCTGTGATGACACCTCTGTGTCCATCTGGTTCTTTTCCTGCTCAAGCACAGATACACAGAGCACGGTGCCCAGGATCAACTCCAAGCAGCTTCCCAAGATCTCCGAGGAGGAAACTCCACAGCCTCTGGGCAACCTGCACTGGTGTTCAGTCACACACAGTGAAAAAATTTCCCTGATTTTCAGGGAAAGACTGAAGAAGGCTGTAATTGTCTGTAATTACTCAGATTTATGATACTGCAAACGTGCAGTACATAAGCACCACGAGAGACAAGTTTGCCTATTTTGCCACCTACTCCTGAATATTAGTATGCTAACCAGAATCCCCTGCATTTCTCTGGATGAAGAAAATTCTACACCTTGAGTAAGTTTATATACACATACATAAACTGTATTATCTACTGGATTGTCTACAACAGTTAATAGTACTTAAGCACACACCAAAACTTAGCTTGTAGCCAGGTGCTGTGAACATGACCTCCAACCATATTCTGAAGAAAAAGCGATAGTCTATGCACTTGAGACCACTGAGTCCTGTTATCAAAGAAATACTCTGCCCTAAAACATCACTACAGCCAAGCACATTAATGTTCCCCTTTTGTTATCAGCTTGGTTTGTATTTTCTAGATTGTATCAGTCTGGCAGTGGTGAAACCAGTGGGAAAAAAACTGTGTATTTAATGAGGATGTAAATTTAGGTGTTTAAAGTAAGAACTCATTTTATTCCTAGTACTCGTTAAATTAACTTGTAGATTTTGCAGTGAAAAAAGTCTTTAAGTCCTATTCTCAGGGCCTAAACTAAACAAAGTATCACATTTCAATAAACATACGATTTTTTTTGGTACACTGATCTGTACTCCAAATAACGCGTGATAGTAACACAATTTGTTTACTATGTCATGAAAAATATTTGCTTAGAATCTGAATAATACCCCATGATACCTTTCTAAAAATTCTTTATAATTGCAATTTAGCATGAGAAAAAAATTACAAGTAAAAAAACAATGTATATGAAGCAATTTTCTTAATCTGTTATTACGAATGCATTGAAGGATGAAAGAACAAGCCTTTCAGAAAGATGTTTCACTGTGCTACAGCATTATTAGTACAGATTGTAAGGTAATTATATAACTTTACTACCTGAAAATCTCAAAGCGCACCACACTGTGTTCAGATAAAAATAACAACACCACTGAATCTTGTAATTTATTATCTTTTGCTTTTTGACTCAAGAGTTTGACACGAGGAAAAGCACTCCACTCGTACTATTCAAAACCAGGTTATACTATTATTAGACTTGGAGAATGAAGTAGCATTTTATCAGCTCATACAACTTAAATAAACAACTATTTAAACATTCTTCTTCTGTCTTCACAAGTAATAAAGTAATAATTTTTATAATCACTACTATTTTATAGTAGTCTTATATAATTTCTATGATTTATTTACAAAAAGTAGTTATTGCCCTTGTCTGTTACAGTCAGCTTCTATCTAGCACGTCCTACCAGTTTCCCTTGGCAACAGCCCTGCTGTAGCCCTGTTACATTTTTTCCCTAATTACATATTGGATGCTATTACAAGCTTCTCCTTTCACTCAATGAGTTATTAACTTTGATTACAAAATCACAGCTCCAGTTTGTAACTTTTTTGTATTTTTAGTAAAAACAAATTAAATCAGTACCTGCTAGAGCTATGAAGCTCTTTTTCAGTATCTCTGAACAACTGTAGGAAGTATATACAAGAATGGATCCAATATGAAAATGCGTGTGAAATTTAGGAAGCCCCCTAAAATGTTATTATTAGGAGACTAAATGATTGGAATTTCTTAATTTTAACATTCAGAATTTCATGCATCAGCAATATTTTAAATTTAAGTCAATCAGTGTAGCATTATTTTGAAAGAAGGCACTGAAGTATTTCCTTATTTGAGCATAGGCAGCTATAGTCAATGCTCCTCAAAAAGGAAATTTTGTTTAGGTTTTACAGTAGACATCTGAAAAGTAAGAGTTCCATTACATTATTTTTAAGTGTGAGCACCAAATCACTGAACGCTTCAATACCCAGTTCTCCCCACAGAAAGCAAGGTTTCCTCTGCCTTTTCATCTTTACACCATTAATATGGCTGAGGGTAGAAAAGCTTTGCAGAGGTATCTGGATAAATTAGGTTGCTGGGCTGAGTCCAATTGCAAGACAGTCAAGAAAGCTAAGAGTCAGGTGCTAACCTGGATCACAACAATCCCATGCAGCAGTATAGGTTCTGTAGTCACCAAAAAAAAAAAAATCAAGGCAAGAAAACCTGGAACTATTCAGAAACAGTGAAATAAAAATAATTAAGAAATGACTTACCGTATACAGGAATACCTGTGCACAAGCTAGAATTTTATATGAAAGGACATTAATTTCTACAAAGAGAAATTTTTGTATGGAGCTAAACATACAGGTAACAAGTTGTCATAAAAGAAGGCACCTGATAAGATACGTTATCTCCAGTTTCAAGATGTCTGATAAGGAGTAAAAAGGCAAAAATTAGTATTCAAGTGAAACTATTCATGAATTATGTATTATAAAAAGACTTAATAAATTGGGAACTTTAACACAGTTATCACATCCTCATTAGGATGCTAAAAGTATTAAGATTGATGTAAAAATATTCTGCAGATTATAAAGAGAGGTTAGAACTGATTTTTCAGACATAATTTTAGAAGTTTTCTCAGGCTGCCTACTACTTTGAAGATATGCAAGTAAATTTTCTTATTCTGAAAGCTTTGCTTCAGCCTCTCTTATAGGTCTCACACACGCTTGTAACTCAAGCTGTTTCAACGTGGGAAGGAAAAGCCTTTAACAAAGTCTTACTTAAATGAAAATATTACTCACTGAAGTCAACTTGTACTAAAAGGAATGGCAGCATTACAAATGAGTTTGAGATCTTGAACTCAGTATCTGTAGTACCATTGCTACTGAGATATAATAAGTCTCATTCAAGTAATCTTTTTCGCAAAAGCAAAGCTTCAATTTCCAAGGGGAAAAAGGAGAACTAAAGTTTAAGAAAGTCTTAAAGAAAAGGACCAAAAAAAACCCCAACAGTCTTTCAGTTTTGTTTAGATCATACAAAAAATGAAGTAGACAGAGTTTTTAGCTGCCATCTCCAAGTCACATGCTAACAAAATTTACATTTACTCTGAAGATAGTTCAAGAGCATGCCAATTCAATGAATTGCAAAGAACTGAGAGCTTGATAGCAGTATGCATGTCTTGCATAAAAAAGGAGACTTGAATAAATAATTTACTGAAGATGGAAGCAGTGATAACTTGCTATTATACTGAAATTCTCAGATAATTATGCATGTATGTACTAGATACTTCACAGAGGAAATTAGTTATGAGGAATGATGAAAGATGGAAGATCAGAACAACCTACTCATATTCGGTATCACAGAAACTCTAGCTTAAGGATACATTTGCAATAAGGAAACATGCAAGAAAACCATAAATGTCCGTACTGAATCCTTAATACCTGTAAAAAGAGTTCTGATACAGATCTGTAGAAAAGTTGAAAACAAGGTACTGAAGTAAATCAGCAAACAAAAATCATCAAAATCAAATAAGATCTGATTTGCAGTACTTTTTTTATGGCTGATTACAGTGGCAAAGACAGGAACCTCAAGATATAATTACCACTACTTTTAGAAGAATTAAAATAAAAAGAAGGAGAATAGACATATCTACTTAACACTACTTGACTAAGAATAAAGCAACAAATTTGTGTTGTTATACAGAAGGCAGTTATATTCTTACATGATGCTACCAACTGTAAATTCCCTAAATTAAGGTCCATTCTATATTATGTTAACAATTGTTGTCAGGACACACAGAACTATAAACACATTTTTTTATTTTTTTTTTTTAAGTGCAATAATTTCTCAGTACTTCTTCTAACATGCTCAAACTAAAGTAGAACACTTCAGAACACTATTTGAAAACTATTTTAGAAGCTACAATACAAGTTTCAAGCCTGCTGTAGCGAAGATCCATAGTGGCATAATAAAGACAGCAGATCACCACAAAAAACAGTTGCACTCAGCTGCAGCAGGCACAATCTCCTGTGAAAGAAACTGTTACGGAGTTCATTTAGTTTTGCTTTCACACTTTGGGACTCAAGAGGACTTAAAGCTGTCATTCCCAGAACTTCAACCAACAAAGACAGGGTGTTTCCAGAGTGAAAACAAAACATCTCCTCCCCAAAAAAAGCAGTAAACTTTCCTATTCTTGGATCAGCAGAAGTTACGTTTATGTAAAACGTTCCAATGAGAGAAGCCAAAATCCAAGTTCTATCTCCACAACATTTCTGTAGGACTACTTAATCACGATCTTGAAAATTGACTGTGATACAGTAAAGAAAAGGAATGTCTATATTCCACAGATTAGAAAAATCACTCTGAAATCTGTAAGTCGAGGCAGAACACCTTTTAAAAAGCTGTGAGCTCCACAGGGCCAAGACATCATCCCTGCGTGCACCTGAGGAGCAGCTGGAAGTTAACAGTTAAGCGAACAACCACAGGAAGACCGAACATCTTGTATGATGTACAGTGCTTCTTGACATGTATCATTCAGCTTTCATAGGATAAATTTCAGCACCACTGTTAATTCAGTTAATTCAGCCTAAACTGTTTAGATGATCTTTGAAGAATCGAAATTATTTCTTTCTCCTCATTTTTGAGGGCTAATGTACATTAAATAGATTGTTTTGTTTTTAAAATGTTTGAAGGGATACGCTTAAAATGCACACATTCAAATGAAATTCCATTCCAGCTGAGACACCTACCTGGTCAAAGCAGGAACTGGTACTCCCCTTGCTCGAATAGATGGCTTTCCACGAACTACTGGAACCTCTGCATTCTCTGAACCACCATTCAAATACGTTAACTCTTGAAGCTGCGCCTGTCTGATCTCATCATTGTAGTCCTGAAACAAGGGAGGGTAAAGGGTGAGAAAGCAAACTGTTCAACCACCATACCAAGTTACAAGCAGCGAAACAAAGATCTGGAAAGGACTTCCTCTTAAACGAACTTCCCACTGAAAAGTTTAATACACAGAAGTGCGCTGTAAGCATATTTCTAGAAGAATTCTATGCATTAACTGCAATTTGTGCTCAGGTCATGTTTTTCTTCCCTACTGCATATTACCTCCAGGTAAGTTTATCACTTAAAATGTGAATGTTAAAATGCTGCAGATGACAGGTGAAAATAAAATAGAAAAATCAAGGTCTTATACTCTGAGCTGAGATCTGGCCTGTAGTTATTTAAGATGGATAGCTCATTAAAAGCAGGAAACATCTACTGCGTAGCGTTGCAATGTGGTACAGAAGAAATGCACAGTTCAGAACAGCCCCCCATGAAGAAGGGAAAGATTAGCCACCTATGCTATTAAAACCAGGATTTAAGGAGAGAATAAAAAATGAAATTCAATCAAACGTTCACCATTCTCTCAAAAAGAGCTCCAAAACCTTCATTTCTAAAATAAGCAAGGATGAATAAACTGAAGACAAACGATTTGTTTCTTATTCAGTACAAATCTTCACTCAAAGTCTACAGAAAAGAAAGCTGAAGTCATTTACATGGAATTAATACAGTATTTCTCAAACCCACAAGAGTCTTTTCAAGGGACCTTGTTACAACCTCCAAAACTGGCACATCACAGGAATTTAAGAGATAGCACAATGAACTCTTTAGAACTGAACATTTTACTGTCATTTTCCTCCACATAAGATGAGCCAAAGAATGAAAATGGCCAAGTGAATCAAGAGAATACCTTATTCAGCATCTATACATATACACTAAGTATCAAAATATTTATAGGTACTTTAAGAAGAATGAAGTGATGCTTCTGGTAAAAATTACTCTCATCCTCTGCAAATCTTTCCATTTCAAAGAAGGAAGGTTTATCCAAATACTACTGATTTTACAATTCAGTTATGAAATCAAAGGATCTTAATCTCTTACCAGAAATCTGATTTTTGTTACATTCATGTACTATGCAGATACCAAAAGACCATAAGGCAGCCTTTCTTTGAAAAACTCCTTCTAAAACAATGCTGCACAGGAAGATTAATACTTCTGTGAATACAAAGATCTCAATTATCCTTGAAACATTCTCCTTCCCTTAAGCTTTCACAAAGAAAATATGGAAGTTTTCCTTTACACACCATTTATGAAGATAATTACTAAATTGAGAAATCTGTGGCACTACACAAACATTTTGTCTATCTACTGTTTCACAACAGGATCTGAAATTTAAATCACAACTGCCCGTTTGAGATCGTTCTCTAAATAGCATGAGAAACCAGCTGGCAGAGGATGAGGAATAAATGGAAGACTGAAACAATTGAACAGTTTCAAGAACTGCACATATTAAGCGTTTGAAATATGGATTCCACTGTAAAACAAAGCTTGAGATCCAATAAAATCACACTGCCCCAAGGAAGATGCAAAAAACATTGCTCTGATAACTACTGAACATAAATCCAGACTGAATTCTGGGTAGATTAAAATCAAGTACAACACCCTAAGTCTAGCATCAAAAGTGCTACTGACCATAAAGTCTGACTTGACGAGCACAGAAAAAAAAAAACAAAAAAAAAAACAAACAAACCAAAAAAAAACTACACACACACACACACAAAACAAAAAAAAACGTCAGAAGCTTTTATGCCTTATTTTCAAGTCATTCTGAAAAAGTTACACACTGTTGCAGGTGTTGAAGGCTCACTTCAATGTAAAGGTGCTCGGCTGTGGATCTGAAAAGAGTTAAGTAAGCCAGTAGTATTTTACCATACTTGGCTGCAAAGATATTTTGTATTTTACACTCTAGCACCAACTGTGATTGCATAGTCAGACCTGATCTGGAAACTGAAAAACTTCCATAAATCTTCCATAAAGGATCAGCATCTAATACTGCAATGCATAATTAGCTAGCACTGTTCAGAACAAAAACTGAGGTCATATACTGAAATCAGGTCTTCTTTCTGGAAGAAAACTGATAGTTTGCCTAGAAGCCACAGCAGACCTTACAGGAAATAAAATCAAATAGCATTTGGCAGCAGTTAACCCAATATTTATTACTTATAGAAGGGACAAAGCCAGTCCTTATTGCTTCATGGGGTTACAGCTGCAAGGAGTTGGGAAACAAGAGATTGCACGTTTTAGAACAACTGTGATAAGATTACATTTGAAAAGCCAAAGGGAAATTAAGACACGCTCTCACATTTCATAAGAGATCGTGCAGTTCTGCTCAGTACAAACAAGGCAATGATCAAAACATGAGTGGAAATGTCTAACCAATAAATGGAATTGCTCATTATCAGTCTAATTTTGATGGTTTAATGGCAGTAAGGACTATAATTTGCTAAGTATATTTATTATGACATAAGGTAAATTAAGCTCAATGAAGGAATAAATTTCCTGCACAGGAATCAGACATACACTCTGACTTCCAGTGAATGTAAAAGGCTTTTCTTATCAAATCATGTGAATCTTCATCTAGAAACAGCTGTTTGCCCACTAAAGCAGACAATCTCCTCACATCTTACTAAGAAGACATTTAAGCCTTCACACAAATTTGAATCGTGTAAATACAGTAACCTGCTATGTTAAAAAGGCTCAGCATTCCTACTGAGGAAATACTCTGCTGGGTTTCCCTTTCCTCACCATTTGTTTATCTGAACAGAAGAACATGAAAAGAGGTAAATGTATGTCAAAAAAGCTACTTGGAACTCTCAGATTTTTGATCTGGTGATTGGTTATTTAAAAACAGAACATAAATCGTAAACACAGAACAGTTTAGCTTAGATGGACCTCTGGGTCCGTCTGCCCAATCCCTGCCAAAGCATGGACACCCAAAGTAGAGCGCCCAGACCCACATACAGCAGCTTTTGAAGGTCTCCAAGAAGGAATCGCCGCAGCCCCTCTGGGCAACCTGTACCAGGAGTGGCTCTGCCACTCTCAAAGCACAGAAGTGCTTCCTCATGTTCACATGAAACTTGCTTTGGTTTGTGTCATGGAGTAGTACGGAAGCATGTGAACTACTTTTCATTAAGAAAGGTGCAAGTCAGAAGAGCCAAGGAGCACATGGTCAACTCAAGTCACTCATGGAATTCCAGCTTCAAGGATCTAGATAGATGCAAAGTGAATTAATTCCCCCAAATACATATGGTAGCATTCTCAGGTCATCAGCACCAATTGCTTCACCCAAGAGCAGAACTTGCAGCTCCGCTCAGGCTGTAGTGGACATACAGAACAGGCATTCAATTGGTTCTTACACTACTATACTAACTATACACAAATACCCATACTACTGGCACCCCAAGATATGAACCTTTGGAAAGTTTTCTACTTAAATCTCTCACATTTCCAAGATCTTATACTAATCAAGAACAAAATTTAGCAACATTATCAGCACCATACAAAACAAAAGTGAAAACCTTGAAGAAATATACAAACCGAAGCATGCTTATTCAATAAAACTTTTTCTGAATTCTGATTTCTCTGAATTCTGTGTAGCACTTTCTAAACAAAAGAATTGCCTCATACATTAAAAACTATTTTTCCTGGGACTATCAAGATAAATAATAACTTTAACGAACATCAAGATAAAATACCTTATTAATTATTCTGCACAATTTTATTACTTTGATCAAGGTCTAAGAAGGAAATATAGAAATAAATACTAACAGGGATGAGAAACTTCTTGATTTCTTCTAATGCATGCCCCATTCTGGCATATGCTTCTGCTGGTGGAGCAAACACTTCAATTAAAACATGAAGGTCATCATTTAGGTGGAAGTATTTTGCCTCTCCACTTTTTCTTAATTCTTCCTCCTAAGAAAACAGACAAACATGTTTGTTTTTTTTTTTTTTTCACTTTATCATTTTAAACATTTTAATGTAGGCTTTAGAATTGCTTTGGATGCATTTATGCTTACTGTCTGTTCACATTTAGATATCAACAACTAAAAAGCCTGTTAAAATTTTATACTTTTCTAATACACTTCAAACAAGATTGTTGCTAAATATCAGAATATTATCAATTTGCTTACAAACACTAGAAGCCTAATAACCCAAAATAGGACTCAGCAGCTCCTTCTCACATACAGGAATAGTACTACAAGGCAGAAGGCTTTCAGTTTTCCCCAAGTGCACCAATTTTATATAGAAAACATAAAGAGAAATAAATAAGATAAAATGGAAAGCTGCTTTTCTCAAAAGTAACATGTTTAGAAGTAGGTTTATTCTGATATTCCACAATGGCGGGATTTTTGCCAGTATTATTTCCATCTCTTAGTTCTAATGCACTCCTCAAATACTTCTCATTTATTTTTTGCTCTTACTGAGATGGTGTGATGAATGAGTTCTCAAAGAATAAATGAGAAGTGTGGCCAACTAGTTGAGGGAAGTGATTCTGCTCCTTTTTTTCCTGTTCTCATGAGACCCTACCTGCAATATTCTATCCAGCTCTGGGGTCCCAAGCACAAGAAAATGAACTCGGAGCAATCTGGTCTAGTGCAAGGTGTTACAGTCCATGGCAGCAGGGCTGGAACTAGATCTTTAAAGGTCCCTTTCAACCCAAATCACTACTGCTTTGAGCACTGCTGAGGCAGCGATGATTAAATTGCTTGTTTTAGTACCTGCATTAGTGTCAGACAGAAAAAGATGTGTAGTCTATTTATCTACAGGAACAAACAAAGCTTCTCTCCACATTTTAAGGATTACATCATAATGATGTAACTTGATTTTCTGTTAAATATCACATTGAAATTTCAATTAGAATTCTATGATTCCATGATTTTCTAAGAAATGCATGCATTAGTCACATCTCAGAACTTGCCAGCCTGACCAGTAACTTGTTAATTAGTAATTACATTCTAAGCTCCACTTCACTGTAGATTGCTATTGCTTTTCATACAGAAGGAACAGCAAGGAGTGATTTCATATTTTAGATAACATTAGTGGCCAGAAACATTACTGGCCAGAAAAGGAGGCCAGTAAATCATGACATACTACAGGCAAAGTAGTATTTTAATTTGTATCAGTTAAAAAGTGCAATTCACTAGGCAGGTGATGATGATGGTCTTGTTACTGATTTGCACTGCCTTTGTTTTTTACAGCTTGAGTCATATCATAGGATCATAGAATCACATGATCATAGAATTGTTTGGGTTGGAAGGGACCTTTAAGATCATCTGGTTCCAACCCCCTGCTATAGGCAGGGACACCTCCCTCTAGGCCAGGTTGCTCAAAGCCCCATCCAGCCTGGTCTTGAGTGCTTCCAGAGAGGGGGCATCCACAAACTCACTGGGCAACCTGTTCCAGTGTCTCACCATTCTCACAGATATGTCACCACAGTAAGAATGAAGCTGATTTGCACACACGTACATGAAGCTGCAGATTTCTGCTGTCTGCTAGGGCTTCTTGCAATGCATACTGTCACCGTAACCAAATATCTTCCATTAAAACAATTGCAATCAGATGTTGACTTAAGTTGTATACAGCATCCTAAATCGGGGCTGTGATTATTTTTTCCTACTTGTACTTAATTTGCTTTAATTGCCTGTTATTCTTTGTCTATTCTTTGTTATTAAATGTTAAGTGCTCTTTTCTATGAAATATCTTTGTTTGATTCATCTAAAAGTCCTTCTAAGGTGAAAACACTGTGATGTGAACACTATAGGTTATAAGCAGAGTAGGACTATCTATAATGAGCTACTGCTAATGCCACAGTTACTTTCCCAGGAACTCTAGTTTTGGGACTATACATACAACCTGTAGTAGCCTCAATGTGGACTGCAATAACAGGCTCCTTACAGAAAACAGACTCCATGTGAATCTAGTTAATACAAGCATATTTTATGTTTTCATTTGCTCCCTGACTTTTTGTCACAGGACTTGTTGACCTCTCCAAAAAAATTTAGGAGGAAATTCAGGGTATCGTAAACACTCGCTACTGAAATATTCAAGTCTTACCTTCGTCTTATCCCTCATTGAACCTTTTCCCAAAATAGACATTTTTGTCAGTGTTTCTTCCTGCAAGCGTTTTAAAGAGTTGCCACGTGGACCCAAAAGCTTTCCCACAAAGTTAAACTGTAAGAAAACAAAAAGACATTATGACCATTGGATTTCTAAGCACAGAAAAAAGCAAAATTTGCTGAAAGAATTTTTTGTTCTAGCAAGAACAAAAAGCAAGAAAAGCAAGAATTGTTAAATCATAACTGACAGTCATTAAGAAGAAACGTATAGGATAGTTAACAGCATGTTACAGACTACCAGATGCCAACTGAAATCTAGAAGTATCTGAACTCAAAGAACTTTCAAATAGCACAGATAAATGACACATTCAAGGCTGAGGCCAGATGTGTTCAAACTGCAATTCAGTTTTTCAACAGTTGTTATCAGGTATATAACCATAAAAACAAAGCTGGCGGCAATCCCTCACAGATGCAGTAGCACCCAACAAAAGTTTTGAAAATGAAAAAGTCTGAATTGCCTTATGCTGCCTGTAAGATTTATGAAGTAATATAGCAACTCATATACCCTACACTAAAACACAGAAACAAACAGGGAATTAAATCCAGAATTTATATGCTTATATTTCTCCTGTCTCAAACCAAAATGAACATTCTTTAAGGCATTTTCAACTGTCACTCAACCTCTATTATCACTGAAGTTTACCAAAATCAGCTGCACTTCCTAACCAGGGCAAAACACTATTAAGTTAACTAAGGGGAAGGTAATGGAGCACCACAAATACAAAGGAACAATATTACTTGGGGAAAACCCAAACATCTCCCTTTGCACAAAACATCAAAACAGGCTACTGTGAATACCTGATGCTCCTTAAGCCCAGAAGGTAATTCAAGGGGAAGATGAGTCAAAAACACAAATTCAAAACCCCACCCAGAGCAGAGAAATAAGAAAAAAGAATCTGTCTGCTACCATTTAAAGATAAAAAATTGGGTTCAATGGAGCCAAGAGGCACGAGAGATCTGCACAACACATTTATTCCCAGATGCATAGAGAGAGAAGGTACGTAAATTCAATAGGTAGCTTTTGTCCATCTGTGATGCACTTTGGAAGATACATGAAATCTGAAGGATGGTTAGAGAAGATTAATTTGAAGTAAACAGTCACTATTTTGATTTTTTTTCACATACTAAAATGTGCCAATAAACACGAGAAACATTTTGAAATTTGTATGGAACGGCACTTACTTCAAGCACTAATTTATTCTCTTATAAATAATACCCAAATTTGGAGATTACTATTCAGGTATATTTACTATGCTCTGCAAAGCTTTATAAAACCACGATATTCACAAACAGTTGCATTCTAAAGCGACCCACTTATGGTAACAGAGCTTTAGGCATAAGTAATACACAGTGACACTATAAAACAAACACCTTTAGACTACTTGTTTTTCTGGACTCATTTCTGCAACTGTTCTCCAGTTGTCTCTTCCTCTAGTACTGTATCATTAAAGAACCACAATGGAAGACTCATTAGAGCCCTCCATAATTAGATGGCTCATTTGATCTCCCTGTTTCTCTAGACAAATCCAATAGCAGTTGACAATGGTGCAGTAGCAGTTCTTACAAACTCCATTGTTGCTACAATGGAAATGCTGATGGAAAAAGTAGTCCAGCTCTAGTTCTCCTACAATGAAGAAAGTCTGCAGTTCCAGTTCACCTACTTCAATTTGAGACAAAAAGAAACACAAGCAATAAAAAAGCCTATTAAAAATGAAAACGTAATTCTTCTCTCTTTAGTACTTGCAAGCTCAATTCCCGACTTAGAAACAGGATACAAGTGAATGAATGGCTATGGATGACTGGTCCACACAAGCTATTGAATAAGGCCTTTCATGAACTAGCCTTTTCTGAGACTAAGAGATCAAATCTCAAAAAATACTAAGGTGACACCTTTAACTGCTGTGGTACCTCATTTTATTCCTTACAGTTTCTTTAGATACTGTCAAGGAAAACAGATTGGAAACAGGTTGCCCAAAGGTATAGAAATCTGTCAAGCTGAGAGCATTCATGAGGTCATCAGGAGGTTGGGCCAGAGATGTCTTGGAAGTCCCTTCCTATACAGACTTTTGACTTTATGATTACAAGCATGTAACTGCAATGAAAACACTCAAACGAAGGGAAGGGAAGGGAAGGGAAGGGAAGGGAAGGGAAGGGAACCCAAACACTGAACTTTCAAGTCAGTAATGCCTTGTCATTTTTTTTAAATAAATGATCACTACTAATGAACAGGGACTTTATAGTTAAACGTAAATGGAAACCTTCGTGTAATGGAATACTACATCAACTTTTCAAGCATTTCAGGTTACTCATGTTTTCAATAAAATAGCCTTGTAAATTAGGAAAACAAGTACTACATAAATTTTTAAAAGAGATTTTCCATTTACAGTAGACTATGCTAAAAATATTTCTGAATGTTGAGTAGCTGCATACAGATAAGCTGCTCTGATATAGAACTTTTAATCTATTTTACTGTTTTCAAATTGAATTTTACTAAAAAATTATCATAATTTAGACAGATAATTATGTATTCAACTATTCAGAGCATAGTGCTGAACATTTAATTGAAACAAACTAGCTGACCATTGAAGACTAAAAATCCTACCATACAAATACAAATGCGTGCTTCCAACAATATGAGTTCTACTTTCAGATGTCATTTTCAGAAAGAAAATAACTAACTTTCCATAAATAAAGCCCATTTGAAATCAAATGAAATCTTTCAGTAGAGAAGAGTTATTTTGAACATTTACTGGATTTCTTGAACTGATGAACATTAAATAGAAAGTATCTGTTAAAAAGCTTTGCATAAAATGTCTCACTGAGATACTGAAATGCTCAAAGAGATCACCACCACCTTCACCAGCACCTTCAGTATACAGAGTATATTATGATTCCCAGTAATCAATAACTGGGACTTGAACCTAAGGTAAAAAAACACAACATGGTAAGACATATTTTCATTACAAAAAAAAAGCAAATCCAGCCCAGCTGCTGGTGGAACATAAGGTAGTAATCCTGGTAGATCCAAGCTAGCTCTTACAGAAGTTTCTCACATACACAGGTTCACAGCTGCTTCCCATGCCACGCACTCCTGAAGTTCTTTTGTCCTTCTGACCAAGACCAAAAAAAAATAATAATAATAATTCTGATCTAGTACTGAACTCAAGTCTATAAACTCACTGAATTAGGCAATGAAATGAATATTAAAAACAAGATATTTGTGCAGGTATAGACAAGCAAGATCAAACCAGTCACTTTGTTATCCCTGCAAAATTCAAGCTGTCAGATTCTTCTCTCCATTGTCTTCTCAGTATAGCATGATCATAACTGAATTACACATTACTAGTCAAAACTGTACTCAAATTTGCTAGTTTCAGCTTAACATTGTGCTAAAACAGTCTCATTACTTTCCACTACTAACAAGTGTCAGCCATGAATGTCATTCTGTGGTGTGCATAAATCTATGTTAAAACAAGAGATATCTATACATGAAAACAGCTTCCAGGATCTTAGGTAAGAATTAGGATCTTAGTATGGATTACAGTAAATAAACCTGAAGTCATCTCTTAACTGCTGTCAGAAAGATTCAGAAGACTATGCCAGATACACAGCCTTAAGAAACTAGATAATAACAAAAAAGTTGAGGCATTTTAGCAAAAAGTATCAAGACTGAGAGTAACAGTTTGAGTAGACCAAATTGGAAAATACATTAGATACTGCTAAATTGATGCCAAAAAAATATACTCCAGTAGTGAGTGGATAAATGTTACCCCTTAAGTCTCACATCAGTACTACTAAGTTCAACATAATCTCCACTCATTCCTAAGGTATGAGATTCTGCATGTTGGCCATGATGTCCACTAGCACCAAAACGTAGGTTAACTATACTGAAAGCATTAGTTTCCCTTGCACAGATTATCTTTCAAGGCTGCTAAAGAATCTCTTATATATATATATATATATATATATATATATATATATATATATATATTTTTTATATATATATATATTTGTTTTTTTTTTTTTTTTTAACATAGTTAGAAAATTTTACACTGATAAGTTGTAGTAAGATTTTTGGTGCTTTTTTTGTTTGTTTTTTTGTTTTTGTTTTTTTTTGTTTGTTTGTTTTGCTTAAAGATTGCATTCTTTCTAGATATTCTGAAGTGATTTTAAGTATTTAAGTATTTTTGCACATGAAGTACATTGGAGATTATGGACATCATCGCTTAGCTCTTCCTCCCTCCAGAATCCTCAGATCAAAATGTCTTTAACAATTACCTAGATACGTATTTCCTTATTAAGGCCATGCTTGAAGCTATTTCCTGAAAACAGTTGAAGAAAAAAAAAAAAAAGAAAAAAAAAACTTCTACAAAAATTACAAATACAAATGAGGTACTGTACTTTCTTTGTGAACATTTAATCTTCTCTATGAATTTCAGGAAAAAAGGAATTAATGCCAATGCTGCAGCATGTTTAATTGTATATATTACAGGAAGTAGGATATAATAGAAAAAGTAATCCTCATTTATCCCCATCAAGACAAGTCTGCTGAGACTGGTTCATCCAGCTTAAAATACTTAGTGAAAGTACAAATATCAGACCAAATGCTTTGCTGTGAAGCTCAGGCAATCCAGTGCCAACGCTGTAGAAAGTTTTCTTGGCATATAAGTTTTCTGCAATGGTTCATACGTGATAGATTCACTAGAAGAAGAAGTATTTAAGTTATGATTCAGTGCACCTTCCCTTCCAATGGCCTGAAATCAGGAAGAGTTCAAGATTTTCCTTATTCATTCCAAGAGAATATGGTTTCTATAGGAAGGTAAGTGCTTCAATCATTTATGTTGTACCAAACTGCTCTCTCCTCCACACAGCTCTCAGAGCAGTAGTAGATCTTTAAACATCTATCCAACTTGAAACTTGGTTGATTGAAGTTATTCAACAGTTCTCTAGTACTAAATCTAAGGCTTGAGGGGCCTGGAGCATCTCTCTTATGAAGAAAGGCTGAGTGAACCGAGTCTGTTCAGCCTTGAGAAAAGAAGACTGAGAGGGGACCTG